AAAAACGTGATTTTTCGTACAATCAGGGGCCATAATTCCAGAAGTTATGGTCCAATATGTGCGAATATCCAAAGGAACAGAGTTCTTTGGGTTATAAACTTACATTTCAAGTTTCATCAAAATCAGAAGAAAATTGTGACCTCTAGAGAGTCCACAACCATGATATATCATATTTTTATGCTATTTGAGTACGAGGGGTGGCCATTTTGTCTGTCAGTTTTGGTCCGATTTTCACGAAATTCAAACGCAACCATCCTAAGGGTGTAAAGGCGATATATTCAAACGTTTTTTGAAATCGGATAAAAATTATAACCTCTATAGGGTCCACAAGCTAAAAACGTGATTTTTCGTACAATCAGGAGCCATAATTCAGGAAGTTACGGTTCGATATGTGTGAATATCGAAAGGAACCAAGATCTTTGGGTTATAAACTTACATTTTAAGTTTCATAAAAATCAGAAGAAAATTGTGACCTCTAGAGAGTCCACAACCTTGATATATCATTTTTTTTACGCTATTTTAGTACGAGAGGTGGTCATTTTGTCTGTCAGTTTTGGTCCAATTTTTACAAAATTCGAACTCAACCATCCTTAGAGTGTAACAGTGATATATTCAAACGTTTTTTTAAATCGCATAAAAATTATGACCACTATAGGGTCCACAAGCTAAAAATGCGATTTTTTGTACAATCAGGGGCCATAATTCAGGAAGTTACAGTCCGATATGCGCGAATATTGAAAGGAACCGAGATCTTTGGATTATAAACTTACATTTCAAGTTTCATCAAAATCAGAAGAAAATTGTGACCTCTTGAGCGTCCACAACTTTGATATACCATATTTTTAGGCTATTTGAGTACGAGGGACAGCCATTTTATCTGTCAGTTTTGGTCCTATTTTTACGAAATTCGAACTTAACCATCCTTAGGGTTTGATTTATTCAAACGTGTTTTTAAATCGGATAAAAATTATGACCTCTATAGGGTCCACAAGCTAACCAGCGGCTGCCAGGCAGGATACGCCCACATTTTCGAGAGATGGATAGAGAACAAGCTAACAAGAAAGTGATTTTTCCTACAATCAAGGGCCATAATTCAGGAAATTACAATTCGATATGCGTGAATATCGAAAGGAACCGAGATCTTTGGGTTATAAACTTACATTTCAAGTTTCAACAAAATCGGATAAAAATTGTGACCTCTATAGTGTCCACAACCTTGATATACCATATTTTTACGCTATTTGAGAACGAACGGCGGCCATTTTGTCTGTCAATTTTGGTCCTATTTTTACGAAATTCGAACTTAACCATCCTTAGGGTGTAACGGTGATATAATAATACGTTTTTTTTAAATCGGATAAAAATTATGACCTCTATAGGGTCTACAAGCTAAAAACGCGATTTTTCGTACAATCAGGGGCCATAATTCAGGAAGTTACAGTCCGATATGCGCGAATATCGACAGGAACCAAGATTTTTGGGTTATAAACTTATATTTCAAGTTTCAACAAAATCGGATAAAAATTGTGACCTCTATAGTGACCACAACCTTGATATACCATATTTTTACGCTATTAGAGAACGAACGGCGGCCATTTCGTCTGTCAATTTTGGGCCGATTTTCACGAAATTCGAACTCAGCCATCCTTACGGTGTAACGGTGATATAATAATACGTTTTTTTAAATCGGATAAAAATTATGACCTCTATAGGGTCCACAAGCTAAAAACACGATTTTTGGTACAATCAGGGGCCATAATTCAGGAAGTTAAGGTCCGATATGTGCGATTTCGTAAGGAACCGAGATCTTTGGGTTATAAAGTTACATTTCAAGTTTCTTCAAAATAGAATTTAAATTGTGACCTCTATAGGGTTCACAAGCTAAAAACATGATTTTTCGTACAATCATGGGCCATAATCCATGAGGTTTCGATCCTATACATGCCAATATCGAAAGCAACCAAGATCTTTTAGAGATAAACCTATATTTCAAGTTTCGTCAAAATCTGATAACAATATATGTCCACATGAAAATGTGGGCGTATAAAAAATTGTTAAATTACTGAAAATGCACTCCTATTTTCTATTTTTTTAAAAAAAACTACTCAATGTAAGTTTCTTGTGTTAAAACTATTCTGACAATGATCTGTAAACCAGAAGTAGTCAAAAAAATATTCGATAATTAAAAAGATAGGTTGCACGGCAATGAATCATACGCCCACAGCAGCTAAATCATCCGAGAGGTTGACAAAGGTTGTCACACATTTATTCATTTGTAGGTAATTTGGGGCATTTACAAGACAATTTCATACAGGTCAGTTTATAATTTTTGTCGTTTGAGGGTTCACGAGGTTCTACAAACTGAAACAAGGGCCTTAACTCTGGAAATAATTTACATCAAATTTTGAAATTTGACAAGACTTTTTCGTTTTACTAATTCAAAGAATGCATCTAAATTTCATACAGAGATCGGATGATAACAAAATAAAACAAGGGCCATATCTCTAGAAAAGATAGGTTGCCAGGCAACAAAACATACGCCCACAGCAGCTAAATTGTCCGAGCGGTCGTCAAGGGTTGTCGCATATTTATTCCTTTGTAGGTAATTGGGGGCCTTTACAAGACAGTTCCATACAGATCAGATTATAAATTTTGTTGTTTGAGGGTTAACAAGGTTCTACAAACTGAAACAAGGGTCCTCTGGAAGTAATCTGCAGAAATTGTCGAAATTTGACAGGCTTTTTCGTTTTACTAATTTAAATAATACATATAAATTTCATACAGATCACATGATCACTTTTGTCATTCAAACGTTCACAACTGCCATAACTCTGGAAATTATTGACGGAAACTGCTGAAATTCAATTGATCTGTTTCACAAATTTAAATGATGCATATAAATTTCATACATATCGGATGATAACTATCATCAATCGAGAATTAACAAGGTTTAACAAAGTGAAACAAGGGAAATAACTCTAGAAGTAATCATTGTAAATTGCTGAAATTCAATAGGCTTTTTCGTTTCACTAATTTAAATCATGCATATAAATCACAAAGATCGGGTGATAACTTTTTGCGTTAGAGCGTTCACAAGGATCAATAAAGTGAAACAAGGGCCTTAACTCTAGACGTAATAAACGGAGAGAGAGAGGGAGAGAGAAATGGGGTTTAACGTCCACTCGACACAAACTAGGTCATTTCGGGACTAACAAATGGTTTAATTCTATTTCAATAATTCTCTTGCGCATAGGGGTCTTTAGCAGTGGGAGGAAACCGGAGGACCCGGAGAAAACCCACGAGGTTGGACAGGCTACCCTACTCCTTGTCACGTACAACCGGGGATTCGAAACCACACCAGTCGACTCAATGACAGACTTTATGATACAGCACGCGCACGCTAACCATTCAGCCATAATCCCCCCCCCCCCCCCCCCCCCCCGTAATAATCGGAAATTGCTGAAATTCAATAGGCTTCTCCGTTTCACTAATCTAAATACTGCATATAAATTTCACAAAGATCGAATTATAACTTTTGGCGTTGGAGCGTTAACAAGGTTCAATAAAGTGAAACAAGGGCCACAACTCTAGACGTAATAAATGGAAATTGCTGTAATTCAGTAGGCTTCTCTGTTTCAGTAATCTAAATGCATATAAATTTCAGAAAGATCGGATGTTAACTTTCGACGTTAGAGTGTTCACAAGGATCAATATAGTGAAACAAGGGCCATAACTCTAGACGTAATAAACGGGAATTGCTGAAATTCAATAGGCTTCTTCAATCAGCAATCTAAATAATGCATATAGATTTCAGAAAGATCAGATGATAACTTTTGACGTGAGAGCATTCACAGAGATCAATAAAGTGAAACAAGGGCCATAACTCTAGACGTAATAAACGGAAATTGCCGAAATTCAATAGGCTTCTTCGTTCCAGTAATCTAAATAATGCATATAAATTTCAGAAAGATCGGATGATAACTTTTGGTGTTAGAGCGTTCACAAGGTTCATTAAAGTGAAACAAGGGCCATAAGTCTAGACAGAAGAAACGGGAATTGCCGAAATTCAATAGGCTTCTTCGTTTCAGTAATCTAAACAATGCATATGAACTTCAGAAAGATCGGATGATAACTTTTGGTGTTACGAGCGTTCACAAGGTTCAATAAAGTGAAACAAGGGCCATAACTCTAGATGTAATAAACAGAAATTGCTGAAATTCAATAGGCTTCTTCGTTTCACTAATTTAAATAATGGATATAAATTTCACAAAGATCGTATGTTAACTTTTGTTGTTCAAGCGTTCACAAGATTGAACAAAGTGAAACAAGGGCCATAACTCTAGACGTAATAAACGGAAATTATTGAAATTCAATAGGCTTCTTCATCTCACTAATGTAAACAACATATATCAATTTTAAAACAATTGGAGGATAACTTTTGGCGTTAGAGCGTTCACAAGAAATTGTGGACGATGGACGGACGGACCGACAGACTGACGGACGGGGGGGGGGGGGGGGGGGGGGGGATCGGCAATATACGTCCACATTTCAAAGTGAAATAAGGGCCATAACTTCAGAAGAAATTAATGGAAATTATTAAAATTAAATAGGATTCTTCATCTCACTAGTGTAAACAACATATATCAATTTCAAAATAAGATTATAAATGTAGTCTGTAGGTAGAGTGTTCACAAGAAATTGTGGGTGATGGATGGACAAGATGGGGGTGACGACAATATACAACCACATTTCCATATGGGCATATAAAAAAGTATTTTCAAATTACATCAATAGCTTTTAAATCATTTGTCAAAAGGCATCACAGACTTTACATATTATCAGGTCTTGTAGTTATTTATGTACAAAAAAATTGTACAGGTTTCAGACCAAATTTAATCTTTCGTACTATGCAATGCCTTATATGGTTATGGAATTCAAAGCATTGATTGGCTGAGGCACGATAGATAGATAAATAGATCAATAAATAAGATTTGACTCACAGCCAAGTCTTTTTTGTAGATGTCTCATCTTAATGGCTGTACGATAAGCAGCATACCTCATTTCACTATAAGCATCTACAATTTAACAATAAATACAATCAACTAGAGCATCACTAACACTGCTTTCATTGATATGGTACTTTTTAAGATAGGTTGCCAGGCAACAAAACATACGGCCACAGCAGCTAAATCGTCCGAGCGGTCGATAAGTGTTGTTGCATATTTATTCCTTTGTAGGTAATTGGGGGCCTTTACATGACAGTTCCATACAGATCAGATTATAAATTTTGTCGTTTGAGGGTTCACAAGATTCTACAAACTGAAACAAGGGCCTCAACTCTGGAAGTAATCTACAGAAATTGTTGAAATTTGACAGGCTTTTTCGTTTTACTAATTTAAACAATGCATATAAATTTCATACAGATTAGATGATCACTTTTGTCATTCAAACATTCACAAGGTTCACAACCGCCATAACTCTAGAAATTATTGACGGAAATTGCTGAAATTCAATAGACCTCTGTTCACAAATTTAAATGATGCATATAAATTTCATACATAGATGATCTGCCTGAATTATTCTCTGAATACTTTGATTCTAAAATTAAAAAAATTTGAGACCAATTTACTCCATCATTTTACCATCCTACAGACTGTTAGCCCTGTCTCTGAACCAACTAACACATTTTATTTCAAAACTGTTTCCCTCGAACATGTTAAGAAGTTAATGACCTCGACAACAACAAAGTCATGTGCACTAGACACAGTTCCAACTTGGATTCTTAAAAAGTGTGTGTCTTGTTTTGCACCATTACTGCTGCCTCTTATCAAACCCTTGATAAAGAAGTTATCTCTTGATCGTAACAATTTCAAAGATAGGTTGCCAGGCAACAAAACATACGCCCACAGCAGCTAAATCGTCCGAGCGGTCGACAAGAGTTGTCGTATATTTTTTCTTTTGTAGGTAATTAGGGGCATTTAATTAGGAGATAAACACTTCCTGAACAAGAAATTAGTATTATTGTGGTATTTCGAGACAAGTGTCAACGTGACTGAAATAATTCCGCCCTGCTATTCGAGACTAAAAGAGGAGTAACTCTTGGCAACAAAAATGACTTCGCTTCGGGAGTTTCATGTAAGTTTCCAGCCTTTTATTTTGCAGACTGTTATCACAATGTTGTAGCTAGTTCTTCTTTACACAATTGAAGTTCATACTTTCATCCTCTAAAATACCATATAAACCACGACAATGATGTCTAGTCCAAGATGCCAATGGTTGCTATGTAGCTGTTCTGACGTGTTGTCAACAAATGACAATTTTGGCAATGATAATGATTAGGCCTAGGCCTATTTTTCAGCTGCTATATTCGACTCCCTCATATTGTATTCTCAAGCGATTCCTTGTGACTAATGACTTATTATTAGGTAGATCATGCTAGTCAGATTTTGAAAGCATGATTTTTAAAAGAAATCCACCACCTGATTAATAAAAATTGGTGAGTGAAGCTCGCCTACCAAAAAAGAAAACATAGGCCTAGTTACGAATATATTTGGATACCTGAAAACGGTTTTAATTAATTTATGACTGATTTTCTACTGTTTTATGTATTTCAGAAATGTGATTTCATAAAAGATGATGTTTGAAAATGGTGTGATAGTCATGTGTGCAGAATTCCTTAAAGATATTTGCCAATAAAGATTTGAGTTGAGGAAGATCATTGAGCACAAAAATGAAAAAAAGTACACTGTTATATTTATACGCAGTAATTCGCCTTGATAATTTAGAGGGGGTTTATTGTCCATTCGACTACACTTTTCGACCAATCAGAATCGAGGAAATTTATAATTTGTGCTACACTAGACAATTTCATACAGATGACATTATAATTTTCGTCGTTTGAGGGTTCACAAGGTTCTAAAAACTAAAACAAGGGCCGTAACTCTGGAAGTAATCTACAGAAATTGTTGAAATTCGACAGGCTTTTTTGTTTTACTAATTCAAATAATGCATATCAATTTCATACAGATCGGATAATAACTTTTGTCGTTCGAACGTTCACAAGGTTCAACAAAGTAAAACAAGGGCCATAACTCTAGAAGTAATTTCATACAGATTAGGTTATAACTTTTGTTGTTCAAGCGTTCACAAGATTCAACAATGTGAAACAAGGGCCATAACTCTAGATGTAATTAAGGGAAATTTGCTGAATCTATATAGGCTTGTTCGTTTTACTAATTTAAACGATACATATAAATTTCACACAGATCAGATAATAACTTTTGTTGTTAGAGCAGTCACAAGGTACAACAAAGTGAAACAAGGGCCATAACTCACAGCGTATTAACGTAAATTGCTGTAATTCAATAATTCAATAGGTATCTTCGTTGCACTAATTTAAATGATGCATATCAATTTCAAACAGATAGAATGACAAGGGCCATAACTCTAGCCGTAACATACAGAAATTTTAAATATTTTATAGGCTTATTCATCTAACTAATGTAAACCACGTAAATCAATTTTAAAATAACCGGATAATAACTTTTGGAGCTAGAGCGTTCACAAAAAATTGTGGACGGCGGACGGACGGATGGACCAACGGACAAACGGACAAAAGACGGACAAGGGCACGGCAATATTGGTACACATTTCCATGCGGGCGTATAAAAATGAAGAGAATGAAATATGAAATAGTGTAGCACCATGGGTCTTTTGTCAGACGTGGAGAGCGGGGGAACCAAATCCGGTCACCACATCCTACGTATGACCCATGCATCTCTTTTCTTACTACATATCTTAGTAGCCTTGTGATCATCTAGTCTTTGCTTCCCCTTCAGGTTGTGTATTTACTTCTTCTTGTCTATCTCAGTTAGTTAACACGTTTGTCTTACCCGGAATAACAATGCAACAGTTCGTTTCTACATTTTATATATCATAGCCGGATACATAGATACAAGCATAGTACAGATTACAATACTAAAGTCATTCTCAAATACTGGGCGAGTCTGCTGATAGAAATTGTTACATCTTTTCCCTTCCAGAATCTGTCTGCTGCCTAGGAACTCAGATGGTAATCTCTCCGGAATCCAATGAAATCTGGCTTAAAAGTTTGCCATGATTTCTTTTATAGGACCTATGGACATCACGCACAGACTAGGCTATTCATGACCCTGAACCTGTGCAATTACTGATATGAGATTGGTCACTTAAACCAAATGATGCAATAGGTAAATTTCCAATCACATGTAATCTGGTAACATGTTGTTGACACATAGAACCAGCTATGTTTTGGTTCTATAACTCTTTTTTATATACCCATCTGTCACTGATATCTTAGTGCACATTTAGTACAATTAATTAATACAATATAATGCCATCATTAATTATAAGAGCAAAAATTCTAGCAAAAGTCTTACAATAGCTGCAATGACTAATATGACAAGAGGCAAAGAATGCTAGGCGTTGGGTTTGTTTTGCCAAATATTAACAACAAGAGCATCGCTAACGCTACAATATACGTCCACATTCCTGCTTTGATTAATATGGTACTTTTTAAAATGAAGAGAATGAAATATGAAATGGCTGTAATATGACAAGAAACAAAAAAGAGGGTGTGACACTGCCCCAGGGGGTCGGTGCATGCACCAAAATAAATAGTTACTGTCTTTACAGTATAAGGAATAAATATGCAAAGTTCCAAGATGGTCCATTCAGAATTGCAGCCTGTAGATGATAAATACAAAAATTGGGTGTGGCTCTGCCCCTGGGGGTTGGAAATGGAACATTATAAATAGGTATCGCCCTGTTATTGAAATGATTGATATGCTGAATTTGAACAAAATCTGTAAATTATTGCAACCTGTAGAGTATTTACTGATAAAAACTAACAAAAATGTGGGTGTGGTACCACATCCACAACCCTGGGGGTCGGGACATGCACCAAAATAAATAGTTGCTATCCTTACAGTATACAGTGCTAGGACTAACTAGGAAAAAGTGCTAAATTTTGGATGTTTGGGTTTGGTCTGGTTCTCTGATTTTAATTGCTTGGTATGTTGATCTAAACAACATGTCCATCTTGAGTAGCATTATTGCCCTGTTATAAATTACATAAGCGTTGACAACTATGAACCGGCCATTCGGAATATCAAATGACAACATTTTAATTTCTAAAATAAAAAGCTCATTTTATATAAAGTCTTCAATATCATTTCTGTGGAATCGGTTGTTTAGTCTTCCAAAAACCATGGTCAGCTATTTTTGTACGCCCACATTTTCAAGTGGACGTATATTAACGATTGAGTCGCCCCTGCTTGTGGACCCTCAAGAAATCAAAGTTTATATCTGATTTTAAAAACTGTTACACCCTGAGTTCGAATTTCTTGATAATCGGATCGAAGGTTGTGGTCCCTCTAGAGGTTACGATTTGTATCCGATTTTGAAAAAACTTAATATATATGATTATGTACCAAAGATCTCAGTTTGATTTTCTCGCATATCGGACCTAACCTATTGTCTTGTGGCCCTCTATAATTGTACGAGAAATCATGCTTTTTTTTTATCTTGTCCGATTATATGTTCATATGGAGTTGATACCTAGAACAAATTTCAACAGAATTTTTCTCGATGGAATCTGGTGGAGGGGTCGCTGAAGGTCCCCCAAACAAAAATCGCTCAAAATAAAAAGATAGGTTTTCGAGTAATTAGCATAAATCCAACATGGCCGCCAACTCCAACTCCAATATCTCGGGTATGGTTGAGTTTGGAGGGTGTAAATGTATTAAGGGTAGATAGGAAAGTGGTACAGATGGCTCAGAAAAACAAAGCGAAATGACGTCCCTGTTACCTCATACCGTCATACAGCCAACAATTTGCATAAATCCAATATGGCTGCCATTGAAACTTAAAACTCTGATATCTCGGAAATGGTTGAATTTGGGGGATGTAAATGTATTACGAGTAGATAGGGAAGTGTAACCAAAGAACTCGAAAAACAATGCCAGGTGACTTCCTTCTGACTACATAACTTCATACGGTTAACAATTAGCATAAATCCAATATGGCTACCATTGGC